GGTGACTCTCAGCTTTCCCTATTCTTTCTATACTGAAATTGCTTGCCTACTAAATAATTGTATATGGAAAGAAGACTGAGCAAGGGGGCATGAGCGGAAGGAACTCATTTTGCTGACCCCACGAAGAAGCAGGGCTACCTATAACACCAATTTTCAGACAGTCTCTAGTGGGGATGCGGGCTGTGCAGAAAGGTGTGTTTGTTGATCAAGGTGCTAAACAAATGCCCCTTAATAGCTAAGGCCTGCTTCATAAAAACAACCATTCACTCTGAGTTGCCTCCTAATACCATAAAGTTCATATAGCCTGCCATTGGGGGAGCTAGTAGGTTTCCACAAAGGTCAGAGATGAGGTCAGGAATGGCCATCCTCTGAAGGAAGCTAATAAAAGTCACCACAGTCAATGAGATGCTATTTCAGTTGTGCCTCATTTTAAAAGATTGTAATATGTAGGACCTCTGTCTAGGTCAGGCAAGATCATTCTAATACAATCAATTTGACTGTAACATGTTGAGAGATGAAATTAGTGCTTGCAGTCATTGAAACAATAGGAAATCTGTGAATAAGAAGCTACTAGTACCTGCATATCCAGTATTGTCCAATGACACAATGTTATAGCTTTAGACAACACATGTGTATTAGTAAGATATATTCCTAGTGTGATAGAACAACCCATTTAGAGACCCCAAAAATGTGTTATAGTTTTCTATATCCAACTTAACTGTGGACCTAAAATTTGCTTTATAAAATAGACTTTACTAGGAAAGATGGGTTACTATTTTTTCCCTGAAAGGGCAAAAATCAATAGCTTCTTAGTTATATTTCCCTCACGGATTCTAATAGCACTATAGATCAAACTTTAAAAAGTCCTTACCAATTATATTTAAATGCAATTTTAAACCTCTTATTGTAAATTAATAAATTAGAATTTTCTTTAAATAAATTATTTTATCTGAATCTGATTATATTTGGTGAAATTAGAAAATTAATTCAAGACTCTATAAAACTAAAGCCCACAGTCTGGACACTTTTTGATTCCATTAATGTATCAATTCCTCCATTTGAGACTTTGATTTCACAGATATCAGTCAATTATAACTTTATAAGTATTATAGAGAATCTTGCATATTATATGAATCTTACTGATACAGAAGTATAGCTCAGTGATACAGATGAGAAATGTATAGCTCACATCAGAATCAAGAGAGATAGATTTTAATAGAAAAGAAAATGTCTTACTTGGTTAAGAATGTCTTGTTTCTGTGCATGCAAGGAAAGAAAGAATACATGTATTAATGTAAGGTAATTTATACTCATTATCTCATTATCCCTGATAATTTAACCAAAAGGTCAAGTTCACAGATTGTTTTAAAAATACCCTAGATGCATGGGACTCCAAATGTGGTTACAAAACAGCAGCATCAGAGTCAACTAGGAAACTGATAGAAATACAAGTTTTTGAACCCCACCCTAGAAACATGGAAACTAAGGAGAGCAGTAGGGGAGCAGGCAGAAATCCGTGTTTTAAGAAGACCTCCAGGTGATTCTGATGCAAGCTAAAGTTTGAGAATCGCTAACTAGATCAATCTTGAAGGTAATAAGCAAACAGTCTAATTGACATGTTATAAATACAATGAATAACACATACAGTATTATTAAAGCCCTATAGAGATTAGAGAATATACAGTAGTATAAAGATATATTAGATTGTGAATACTTAGTCCCCACTCCTAAAATTTCCTTCTATTAGAAGCATATGCCTAGCCTCTTTCTATACCTTTAAAAATACCTTTCCATACATATGCCACTACTTAATTTCTTCCTATAATTTTAGATATAAATGGAAAATATAGAATTGAATTTAAAATCCAGGGACGAATAGAGAGAGAGAGAGAGAGAGAGAGAGAGAGCGCGTTCATTTCAAACTGGTTATTTCTTATTATAAAATTCCATTACATTCATGAATAATTTATATCTTAATGTCCTGACTGTTTTACTATGAACACCCTCGAAGATTGAATGGCTACTATAAACAAGCTGTAATCATACAATTTACATTATTCACATAAGATTAGATGGAGACTAATAGGAATCTCTTACCTTGTTAAGGTATGAGTCAGTAATAATTATGGGCACTGGAATATGCCATACTTGTTACATATGCAACGTCATTCAGTGTACTATTTCATGCACACTGAATGACATTGCTTATGTGAAATACCTTTCCCTTCTCCTTTTTCTACTCATCTCTCAAGGTCTTCCCTTTCATTCTATGGCCTAATCAATGAAGTGAAGAAGAAAAGGCATCAGTCTTACACTGGGATTCCAGATACATAGGTTTTAATTATGGATATTGTTGTGAACTTAGCTAGTTAATTTTGGGAAAGTCATTTTAATTTTCTTAAAATTAGTTTCTTTACTTAAAAACTCTGTAATATTATTAGTTTGAGAATCTCAAGATTTTTTAAAACTTTTTATTCTTAGAGAATCTTTAAAGTCATTGTTTAGATTTACATTTTATGATTCTTTTATTTCTTCAAAGAATCAATATCGAATAATCTTTAAAAGACAGGAATTAAAAATAAATGAGTCACTCATACTTAATGTTTCTTTTCTATTAAAATAGACTAACATGTCACATTTTCACTGGCTTAAGTTTTTATATACAGCACTTTTAAAATTCAGTAATTCAAATGAATGATAATAAAAATAATGCATCTAGCATTTAAGCAGCTTTACTTTGTAAGGAGAGAAGCAATTTAAGAAAAATTTAGATGGTTTTCTCTTTGTGAATACATCTTATATAGCTGATACAAGCCATGTTCATTTTAGAAAATAAAGGATTAGTTCTTCATTCTAAAATCAGACTAATCACTTTTGTAATTTTTCTTTTATAATTGATATTATTATTAAGTAGTCACCAGTGACAAACAACTTTGGGCTCAACTTGACTAGTCAATAGAGAGAACTTCACATGTGAATTGACAGTATGATTCTTTATGAATTTTTTATGAATTCCTTCATGCTATACGTATAACCTTTTATAAACTGTATGGAGTCATGTACTGATGAGAATCATAGGACTGAAGGATTTCTTTCTCAACATTGAACATTCCTAATTATTTTCCTATTGACTTTTGTGAAACAGATATCAGTGTCTAAAAGAGTGATATAAACTTTATTTTTTTTTCTCGAAGGGAAAATATATACCAGTATTAACATTAGAGAGTGGTTTCGCTCTTAAATTAGAATTGTTTTTGGGTCACAGTGAGATCCAACTTTTTTTGTTTTTCAACCGTTCATTATTTTAATAATGCATTTCAAGAGCAGATCTGTGCATTTATAGAGAGGTGTTACATTATTAAAAAGGCTGACATCATATGTGTGTCTAACAATGAATCTAGTAATTACCTCAATAAATCCAGTATATGGTGACAGATAATCCTCATTAAATATATAATATCAATAAGACTAAGTATTGTGAGTCCTTTATATAAGAATTCATTGAAGAAAAAAGGCTACTATGCAAATAATACCACATTTCAACGGAATTTAAAACCAGTAGCTGTCTTTAGGGAGAAAAAACTGGTTTCATCTCTGTATGTAGATAACATTCATGTTTTCAAGTATGATTGGAAATGTAAATATTAATTATGTTTGGAGTCTTATAGTAATTCAGTGAAGTTGACACAACTTTCCCATTCTGCTTTTTTGTTGTTGAGATTTTTAGTTCTACAAATTTATCTGCCGACAATTTTTTCTCTCACTCTGTAGCATCTGGGAAAATAAAATGTGAGAGAAATGAAGGCCTGATATGTTTTTTTTTTTTCCTGATATATAAAAAAATGGGAATGGCTTTAAATTGCCATATTTTCTCCATAATTTGTAGGCACTAAATATTAACTTTATTTAAAAAAATAAATCTTAGGTTAAAGAGTTTTAAAAGGTACAGTAATTCATCGTAATGCAGACAGAATAAAAAATATGACATAAAAAAGTTAATTACTAGAAATACTGAAAGGAAATTATAAAACACTACAAACATTTTAAGGTTGGAATTTAGAAACTGGTTTTAACTAAAATGTGTAAGTCCTATGAATCCCAGAGAAGTACAATATTGAAGGATAACCAAGAACTGTGCTCTTTTAAATACTGAAAACCACAATAATGATGATAACAAAAAACAAATCACATTTTAATCAGCAAATGAATCTATCTGGATGGCTAGATAATACATCCAGGGCAAAAAGATCTTTTCCAAAAGGCAGTTTAACTCCTGTAAACACAGCTTTGGTGAAGCTGCAAAAGAACTCACAGTGATGATCATTAAACATTTAAAATGTAACATCTCTCAGCTAACATTATATGGAAGGTGATCTAACAAATAATTAAGAAGGGAAAGGCATTCATTTAAGCATGGTCTTCAAAAGCAATCGATGAGACATTAAGTTCTTACAGGGAAAGAATTTCAGGGACTTAAGCTTACAGGCACCAGGTAAAAGAAAGAGGGAAGAAATTCCTCTTTTTGTTAAATCTGGCCCTTTAATTAATGGATCAGTTACATCCATCACAAAATCTATTCTTCGGTCAGTCAAGGGAATAATTCCCTGAAAGGAGGAATCTCCCTACCCCACATCAATGGTCATTTGAGGTTTAAATTTGTAGGTCATAAAGTGAGTGTCAGGTACACTTTCTCTTCCCTTCTATCTAATCCTGTTTCCTGATTTCTAGGAAAAGAACCTAGAACTATATTATAGATGATCTATACTTTTTCAGGTAAAAAATATAGAAATGAAATTTGCATTAACAAAATGTTTTTGGATTAAAAAATAGTAAGTACAACATTTAATGTTATCTTCAAGAATATCATTTTATCATGAATTTTATTTCATTTATGTTATGGCATATGGTATACAGTATATATATTTCCAAGTACTAATCATTAAGAAATCCCTTCTCCAAGTACTTATATAAAACTGATATAAAGAAAAAAGAAGCTTTACCCCTTCAGGATTATACTTTGCAAGCACACCATTACCATGGAATTCTTCAAGAACATCCTTTAATTTCTTTGTAGAATCTATAAGAAATAGAAAACACACAAATTATTTATATATGTTTGTTATAGTTATATAACAGTCCAGAAACAAAGACTTCTTAAAATATAATCACCAACAGATATTAATTAAAAAATGAACATGTAAAGTGTCAATTCTTTGTCACTTTTAAAAGGCTATTTAATTAGAAAAGACAATCACACCAAAAAGAAAGGAACAGAAAAAGTATGTTTTGCCCAAGTGTATTGTCCAAGAATGGAGCCATTGCCTGTATATTATATATAAAACGATGAGGAAATAAATGAATAGGTAGTATTGTTTTCCTTTATCTTGATAACATAACATTTAAATTAGTGAAATAAGTTTAGTTTAAGAAGAAAAAAGAAAACAGGAGCACTTTTAAACTTTATAATTTATATAGTGCATTTTTCATATATCACTCCATTAACTAAATAATAACTCTACTAAATAAACAAGAAAAATGAAATGTGTAGATAAACCTCAATGGTGAATCCACTCAGAGGTAAGCTATGGATTTTAGTATTTTGTAGGTAGTTTTAGAAAGAATTTTCTAAATAAACATGAAACTCAACACTTAAGCTCTTTTTAATTCAAGTAAGAAACAAAGTTTATACACATTACCAAAAAGTATTTAAATTTTTTTCAATTTTTAAAAAAATTTTTATAATTTTTATCATATTAAGATGCTGATGAATCTTGAGTTAATATAGGAAATAATATCATAAAAACATAATTATT